TGCCTTCATAAAATTAATCTGACAGTAAAAGTTTATGGCTGAGACTGTTTAAGAAAAATTAATCACCTTGACTAAAAGGCAGTGGATGGCTCTGTACTGCAGGCATGGGATAATACCTAGCATAATTTGCCAGTTTTGGCATAATAGCCATTTTAAATTTTGATCTATACAAGACAAGCTGTGAGCACCCATTTTGTGTAGAATCTCCAGGAAGATCTTAGAGTCCCCATCCAAGAGGGTGTTCTGAGCTAAAGTAAGCACAAGAAGAAAGGTTTTCAGAAATCAACTGCTTTGAAGGAATCCATGCAATTTGTAAGTGCCGTAACTGCAGAATGTCAGTATGGGTGTATGTTTCCTCCATGGACTACAGTGGTTCAATAAGGAATCTAACAACTGTCTTCTCAAGGGCATTTAGGGATGGGTAATAAACATTGGCCCACCCAGAAGTGCCTATGTCCCAGTATTAAACAGTTTAAAACAAAGAAGTGCAGACTCATTGCTGATTGGATTTTTTTTTGACTGAGTCATAGGGAATGTGGGTTTTGCTGGCTGGACCAGCATTTACTGCCCACTCTTACTGCCCTCGAGAAGGGGATAGTGAGTTGTCTTCTTGAATTACTAGAGTCTATTTAAGGTACTGGGGTCATATTTTGACCCAGTGATAGTTTGGGACAGCAATATAGTTCCAAGTCTGGATGGGGCTTGACAGAGAACTTTTAGATTCTCATGTATCTGCCGCCCTTGTCTTTCGTGGTAATGGTCGTGGGTTTGGAAGTTGCAAAGAGTAAATTTCTGCAACACATCTTGTAATGGTACACAGCTGCAACTGTACGTCTGGTGGAGGGAATATTTGTGAATGTGGTACCAATGAAGTGGGGCTGCCTTGTAAAGCTTCCCGAGTGTTGTTGGAGCTGCCCTCATACAGGCAAATGGGAAGTATTCCATCACACTCCTGACTCATGCCTTGTAGATAATGAGGCTTTGTGGAGTCAGGCAATCCATTACTTGCAGCAGGATTCCTCGCCTCAGACTTGCTCTTGTAGCCACTGTACGTATCCGTGCATCTGTCCATCCATCAATCGTCAGGGACCTTACCACTGCACCTCAAGAGGGCCCTTTACATTTGAACCATGCCCCTAGTTCTGATTACTTGTCTAGTTACACTACCACAACACCACTGCCTCCCTCTTGCATTATTACTAGCCCAATTCAGTTTTTGGTTAATCATAATCTATAAGGATTGATAGTGAGGAAATTTGACAATGGTTATGCCACTGAATGAATCAAAGTGGAATTAATATTCTTCATAGCTATTGCAGCTTGTGCTTTCCCAGAATTCCTAATTTTGAGACACCTGACCCCCTTTAATCTCTCCTACTGTACAGTTTTCAGTTTTACTTTGAGTTTAACATCAGCTAATCACAACTTGTCTAATTATTGTTTCTTCTTGAAATGAAATGTTTGCCTTTGCATTTGTCTTTGACTTGGACTATGGTTTTGACCTTGTTTTAACTGTTCTAATTAGGTTTAAAATGAGACATATATTCTTGTTTTAAAAAAATTGTTTTTGAGTTGAAAATAAACATTTCTTTGTGAGAAAATTTCACATTTAAGGGCTGATTTAAAATAAATGTAAGATGCTACTTCATCTGTTGGCATTCTAGATATTTTCTAGTCAGCTTTTTCCGATCCCTTATTACGTTGCTCTTGAGCAGGTAGGACTTAAACCCAGGTATCCTGGCCCAGAGGTACAGACACAACCACTGCCCACAAGAGTACCACCTTACCTTGCTCCATATCAGTCAATTGGATTATCAATTTCAACAATGTTAATTATGGGGAGTGGCCCAAATTGGGGAGGGGGGAAAAAGCATGTGGTGCCTGTTTAAATGGCTGTAGGGGTTACTCCAGATCCATGCTTCACTAGAACAATGTGGTGGTTTGGGAAATGCAGATTTCCCAATAGTGGGTGCTTTACTGAGTTGCATGGTTTTAAACTTGACCCTCCAGCCAATTTGCCATTCTACCTTAGAATGGTCTAATTACAAACAACTAAGGTACAATCAAATGCTCCTTTTCTTTAATGTCCTGATCTAATTGGTCTTGTTTCAGGGTTTCTATGTTGTTATTCAACTTGATAACTATTTTAAAACTCAACCTTACTCAGTTATTTTCTTTTATGAAAAGGCATGCTTTGAATCAAAAGTACACTGTCCTTCCTTTTTGAAATATTGTATCAACAATTGAAAGAAAAATGCATATTTTTGTTCATCCTGTACAGAATGTGGTAACCAGTGGTGAAATGGAAATGTCTCTCATCAACCACAAAAGCTATTGCTTGGTAAAAAATGGAATTTGGAAAAGGCAGGCTTTGTGGCCAATGCCACCACTAGATGGCACTTGAAGAGCCTGAAGTGATGAGCTGTGTGTGATGGATGTGGGTAGAAGTTGGGGGCAACAACTAGCAGGATGGCGAGGGAGGGCAGTCAGAATGTAACCGATGGGTGGGGGTGAGGGGGGCTTAAATCCACTTTCTTGCCTGAACCCCATGACCTTTGTAGATTTTAATAAAAGTCCAACTGCCTTGAATATAAGCCTCCACTGCTATCTGGGGAAGAGACTCCACTGCTTATCATCTTCTGGGAGAGGAAATTCCTCCACATCTCCATTTTAGATGAGGGACCCCTTATTTTCAAACTGTGCTCAGAGTTCAAGGTTCCCATCCCAAAGGGAAAAGATCCTCTCGGGCATGTACCCTGTCAAGCCCCGTCAGAATTTTATGTTTTGTAAGATCACCTGTGAAACTTCTAAACTCCAACAGTAGAGAAGAAAGATTCTCAATTTCATTAAGATGGAGGTGGTGTAAGTAGTAATGTGTTTGGACTAGTAATCCAGAGGTTCAGGCTAATAATCTGGGAATTTCACATGTCTTGTGGAAGTTTAAAATTCTGTTATTAAAATCAAGCCTAGTGATGACCATTGTTGTCAATTGTAAAAAGAAAATCAGGCCCTTTAGGGAAGAAATTTGCTTTTCATACTTGGTCTGGCTGAGAACAGTTTGTGGCAATGTAGCTGACTCTTAATTGACCCGTGAGAAGACCTAGAAAGCTCTCAGTTCTGTCAAACTGCTACAAATCTTAAAAATAAAGCAATAACACAGGACGAACTTGTTCTAGACATCTCAAACCCGGCCCAGGCTAAGCTGAAATGTTCACCTTGGGAACATCTGGGAGGTTATTTGAAAATTGAACAACCTGACTGGTCCCACAGACTACTCAAGCAACAGCCTGACATTTGTCTGTGAGGTAGAATTCTGAGAGAGCAGTTCCTGAGATCATGTTCCAGGCACCCCTATCACCATCCCTGGATGTGTCCTGTCCCTCTGGCAGGGCCACAGTGCAGCGAGACAGTTGCCCTGAGTCTTGTCATGGCATCAGGTCAAACAGTGACAAAGAAACCTCCTACTGATTAAAATGTACTGTACAATACTGCATTGAAGTGCCAGCCTATGTTATGTGCTCTATCCTTATCGCCTAGAAGTAAGAGTTCCCACTGAGTAGAAGCTGACATTTGTAAAGAACATTAGGGATTTCTGTTGTTGTGATGGCCAATGATTGTCTTCCAAATGACAAGACTTAAGATCTTATTTGTTAGTGTGAGTTAATCTGTCCTTACTTGATTGATCAGTGTTAGTGAATGCATATCATCTATAAACTTAGATGTTTCATTTCCAAATTCAGGTTATACTTTAAGAGCACATGGCATTGGGAATAGAATATTCACATACGAAAATTTCTTTAAAGATTATGCTTATGATTTAATGATTAGTTGCTTGCTACACCATTTCATTTCTGTCTGTTGAGGATAACTTTACTTTTCATGAGTTCTACCAGTACATGAGTTACGTTATCATAAAACATCGCATTAGACGTAAGCCGTTCAAACATTATTGAGGAGATAGTAGGAACTGCCGATGCTGGAGAATCTGCGATAACAAGGTGTAGAGCTGGATGAACACAGCAGGCCAAGTAGCATCAGAGGAGCAGGAAAGCTGACGTTTCGGGTCTAGACCCTTCTTATTAAACCTCTTTCCCAGTCCACTCCAGCCAACTCTGCCCTCATCTCTTTGTAATTTTCTTTATTTAAATTTAGAACAATTGTTTTCAACTCCAGTTTCTCACTGTGAAATAAAATACTAAATTCAACCATGCTATGGTCGCTGCTGCCTACAAGATCATTTATTAAACTTGTTTCACTGCATACTACCTGATTAAAAATAGCATGATCCATTGTTGGATACATTGCATATTGTTCTAGGAAATTGTTTTGAATATACCGTATTAACTTCTCTTCATGGCTACCATTGGCAATTTGGTTTTCCCAGTCTATGACAAGATCTACTGTATTTTGTATGGCTCCAGTGTCACGTGCCTGAAATCTGGCCTTTTCGTCAGAAAGATGGTCCAATATTCTTTCTTTATTCTATTGACTTTTTAATGTATTATAAATCTTATATAATTTTAAATCAATGGGAAACCATTGCTGTTATGGATTTGCCTTCTCCTGACCTGTCATTGGACCAGAATTTTGCATGATTGCTATGATATCTGTAGCCCCACACTGGGGTTTTTCACGAGTGCTCTGATTTTGCAGAAAGAGTGAGTTGCTGCTGTGTACGTATCTCTTTCCCTAACTGCAATTCTCAAGCTGGAATGCATTGGAGCATTCATGTCCTGCTCTGTTATACTATTGAATATCTGGTATTTTTCACAACAATTTGGAAAATATGTTATTGATTGTACTTTTGTAGTGCAAACAGGATATCCTTCAATTTTTAAACAATCGTTCATAATTGAATGTTAGTTTAAAAAGTGAGTACGGCTGAATCTAATAATTCATAAATGCTAAATTAATTGTGTTAATTTGGATTTTATTTTTATTTTTCAGGTCGAGTAGTTGATTTATCAGGATTGGGATTGCAGCATTTGGATACAGTTGCTCTGTGCCTGACAAGTACTTTGATTCTGGACAAGAACCAACTGACTAAATTGGAAAATGTGGAGAAATGTGGAGATTTAGTACAAGTTGGTGGTACTTTTTAAAAAATTCTCGTGAGATTTTAAAGGACATGGGCTCATAGTGTGCTAAACTTTTACAATACCTCTCTGCGTGAAATCACTATTTTAGATGAAAGGAAAGTAACATGTTATGTGGTCTACATTGCATACTGCTCTAGTTATTTTTGTTATCTTGATAATTTTAACATGAACATTTGTTGAAATGGACATCTTGTGCAGCAGGACCAATTAGGGAAGTAGCTATACAATTTTATGTTTCCGTGTGAAGTTGCATGCAAGATGCATTGATATAATCAATCAAGTCTCTGCAGAAAAAAAAATGTTTTGAAAAATCTGTTCAGTATTCATTTTGCTCAGGAATGTATTCTAGAATTCATTATTAGGTTTGTTCCAGGTCAAGGTCTTCTGTTGGTTGGTGTTACCTTGATTCCCACCTTAACAGAATACAGTATGATATTAACAGCTAAGTACAAGCATCAATGTATCCTTCTCGAGCATACACATCTGTTCCATATGTTACTTTATGGTGTTTTTCCACTCACACTGTATTTTTTTCTTCTCTCTCTTTCATTTGTATTGAAAATTATTGACATATGGTTGTATTAAGAACTATAATTTAATGGAGTAAAATTGACATTAAAAGCACCATAAATAAATTCCCTCGCTAATACAGAGCTTGAATATTACTAAACAAAGGGACATGTTGCTAAAAATTTTCATCTTGTACTGATCTCCATAAATGCAAGCATGCTACAATTCAAATGGTCAAAACAATTTATACATTTGGGGAAAAGGAATTCTGATTGGTTAGGAAGCCGACTTTGGCTGACATATTGCTGTGGAGAAAGCAGCACTTAACAATAGGATAACTTTAAAATGGCATAGGCCTGAACATATTCATTTTGTTTGAAGTGTATGTTCTTTGTGCATGAATATGCCTGGTCAACTCTATATATAATAAGAGATAGTAGGAACTGCAGATGCTGGAGAATCTGAGATAACAAGGTGTAGAGCTGGATGAACACAGCAGGCCAAGCAGCATCAGAGGAGCAGGAAGGCTGACGTTTCAGGCCTAGACCCTTCTTCAGAAATGGGGGAGGGGAACCAACCTCCGGATCCAACGCATCATCCTCCGACACTTCCGCCATCTGCAATCTGACCCCACCACCAAAGACATTTTACCCTCCCCACCCTTATCTCCTTTCCAGAGGGACCACTCTCTCTGGGACTCCCTTGTCCGCTCCACACTCCCCTCCAGCCCCACCACACCCAGCACTTTTCCCTGCAACTGCAGGAAGTGCTACACTTGCCCCTACACCTCACCCCCATCCCAGGCCCCAAGAAGACTTTCCACATCAAGCAGATGTTCACCTGCACATCTGCTAATGTGGTATACTGTATCCGCTGTTCCCGTTGTGGCCTCCTCTACATTGGGGAAACCAAGCGGAGGCTTGGGGACCGCTTTGCAGAACACCTACGCTCGGTTCGCACTAAACAACTGCACCTCCCAGTCGCGAACCATTTCAACTCCCCCTCCAATTCCTCAGACGACATGTCCATCCTGGGCTTCCTGCAGTGCCACAACGATGCCACCCGAAGGTTGCAGGAACAGCACCTCATATTCCGCTTGGGAACCCTGCAACTCAATGGTATCGATGTGGACTTCACAAGCTTCAAAATCTCCCCAACTTCTACCGCATCCCGTAACCAGCCCAGCTTGTCCCCGCCTCCCTAACCTGTCCTCCCACTTCAAGCCCTACCCCCATCTCCTACCTACTAACCTCATCCCGCCCCCTTGACCTGTCCGTCCTTCCTGGACTGACCTATCTCCTCCCTAACTCCCCACCCACACTCACCTTTACTAGCTCCATCCCCGCCTCTTTGACCCGTCTGTCTCCTCTCCACCTATCTTCTCCTCTATTCATCTTCTGTCCGCCTCCCCTTCTCTCCCTATTTATTTCAGAACCCCCTTCCCCTCCCCCATTTCTGAAGAAGGGTCTAGGCCTGAAACGTCAGCCTTCCTGCTCCTCTGATGCTGCTTGGCCTGCTGTGTTCATCCAGCTCTACACGTTATCTCTCCATATATAATAAAACTTGTTTTATACTTGTTGCAGTTGTCTGTAGCCAACAATCGCCTAGTCCGGATGGTCGGTGTAGCAAAACTTGTCAATTTGCGAGTCTTAAACTTGCCTAACAACAGTATTGGAAATGTGGAAGGCCTGAAGGACTTGGTTCATCTAGAGTGGCTCAACTTAGCTGGAAACAATATTAAGGTATTGTATGTTTACTTAATTAAATTTGAATTACCACTACACAATCAAAAAATGATTTTGTTTTGAAGTATTTCTTTTTGTGCATCATAACTTAAGGATAACTTTTTGTATGTCAAATAAATACCAAAATGAAGCTAAGTTATATGATTTATAACTTTTGCTATTTCTTTATCTCAATCCTCTTCATTTGACAACTTTAAATAATAACTTTATCAAATCCATTGTCAGACTTGCTATACACAGTTGTATCAAACACAATTAATAACTGCTGTGGGCAGTAGCCATTGCTTCTAATTGGCAGGATGTGACTGGTGGTGTACTACAAGGATCTGTGTTGGAGCCTCAGTTATTCAGTGTATTCATTAATGATTTGGATGATTGAACATAGAAACCACACATCATAATTTGTTGTTGGCTAAAAACAAAACAGCATGGTAAGCAGCATAGATGGGAGTGTAAAATTATATATACTGATAGATTAAATGAATTGACAAAACTGTTGGAAATGAATTTAGTGGCAAATGGGGAGGCAATAGCCTAGTGGTATTATCGCTGGGCTATTAATCCAGAGACCCAGGTTCAAATCCTTCCATGGCAGGTGGTGGAATTTGAGTTCAATAAATATCTAGAATTAAGAGTCTGGTGATGACCATGAATCCATTGCTGATTGTCGGGGGAGAAAACACCATCTGGTTCACTAATGTCCTTTAGGGAAGGAAACCGCCATCGTTACCTGGTCTGGCCTACATATGATTCCAGACCCACAGCAATGTGGTTGACTCTTAACTGCCCTTGGCAGTTAGGGATGGGCAATAAATGCTGGCCTAACCAGCGATGCCCCCATCCTGTGAATGAATTTAAAAAAGTGAGGACATCCATTTTGAAGCCAAAACAAAGAACAAGGTACTTTGTAAGTGTTGAAAAAGGAAACGCAATAGAGATCCAAAAAAGACTTAAAACATCTATCATTATGTATACCAATAAAATGTCAAGAACAGGCACAGGAAACACTTAAAAGCAAAAGGCTATTGGAATGCTGCTCTTTGTATCTAGAGGGCTACAATGCATTTGCTATACAAAGCTAGGTCACTCCTGCAATACTATGAGCAGTTCTTAGTACCACACGTGAGGGCTATTAGCCTTGGAGGAAGTACAATATTGGCTTAATTGAATGACATCAGATATTAAGGGTTGTAGTCCATGTAATATGTAAAGTTAAGGGTTGATTTGATCAAATTTTAAGATAATAAAGGAAACAAATAGGTTATTAGGCAGAACTATTTCCTCTGTTTGGGGAGTCTGGGCCAAGGGATTGTTAACTAAAGGTTAGAGCCAAATCTCTGGATTCAAATTAGGAAAGACGAGGATAAAGGAGCTTTCTTTCACAAATAGTAATTGATGCTAGATCTGATGGATTTTTGTGGGGCGTAAGAATTAAGGGACATGAATGCAAATATGTGGAGTTTGGTTGCACGTCAGTCATGTTCTCATTGTATAAAGGAACAGGTTTGAGGGGGTAAATGGCCTTTTGAACAGGCTTCTGTCATATGTCCCCTCATCAATCTTTTACTTGCAGTTCATTTCACCTTCTTAAACAAAAATTGTTACTCTTTGTCCTATTTCTCCATAAAGATGATCCTTTCTACCCTTTGAACTACTGCTTTGTTGCCCTGGCATCATAGCATTTTAATGTTGTGGGATATGCAATTATTACATTGTAAACTCCAGCCTGATCCATGACTGTAAGTTTGATATTGCTGTTCCACTAGTGACTTTGTTCTCTAAATAATGTGACTCTAAAACTCTTGTCTTTATTAAGCTTTGCATCATTTGTTACTGCTCAGAATATCTCCAAGGCTTTGAAAGAAATGTTACCGTGAACTTTTCAGCACTTTCTCAGCATATGACTTCATTTCCAAAACTCTGTGCAACTTCCTCAAATTGCTTCAAAATGGTGTAGTTGAAACTGTTTTTCCACCACCTAGGGCGGCACAATGGTTAGTACTGCTGCCCCACAGCGCCAAGGACCCAAATTCAATTCAAGCCTAGGTGACAACCTCTGTGGAGTTTGCACGTTCTCCTCGTGTCTGCATGGGTTTCTGCTGGGTGCTCTGATTTTCTCTCAGTCCAAAGATGTGCAGGTTAGGTGGATTGGCCATGCTAAATTGTCCCATAGTGTACAGGATTGTGCAGGCTAATTGGATTAGCCATGGTAAATATGGGGTTTTGGGAATAGGGTGGGTTTTGGTCGTGATGCTTTTCAGAAGGTCGGTGCAGACCTGATGAGTCGATTGGCCTCTATCTGCACTGTAGGGATTCTATGATCTATTTTCAGCTTTCTTGTTGCCATGTCAGTGACTTCATTAACCAGCCTATCTGCTGTTTTGCTAAAGATTCTTACCAGTGTCATCATGACAAGTCAGCAACTTTCAATATTCTTTCAATACAGTGACTAAAAGTGATCTCCTCCAGCTGGTGTAATGAATATTTCAGGGACACTTCTTCCAGCAAATATCATCTGATACGTTTGACAGCACCATACGGAGATCTCTTGTAGAATAGGCCTTGGCTCTTCGCTATGAATCTCATCTCTTAAAGAAAAGCTAATCAGAATGTGAAATATTTAAATTATCGTTTTCTAATTTTAAAAGATTCTTTTGTAGAATGTGAGCATTATTGGCAAATTATCCCAAATTGTCCTAGAGGTGCTGGTAAGCTGCCACCTTGAACTGATGAGATCTATGTGATGTGGTCCACAGTGCTGTTAGTAAATTCCAGTATTTGGATGCAGCCGCAGTGAAGTAGCAGTGATATAGTTTCGGATCAGGATGATGTGTGGCTGTAAGGGAAGTATGCAGGGTGATGGTGTACCTGCATATTTGCAGCTAGAATCAGCCCAGAAATAACAATTGCAGACGTGACTTTGTTCACTCTCCGAAGTTCTCCTTACCAATATCTGGGGGCTAGTGCCAAAATTGGGAGAGCTGTCCCACAGATTAGTCAAGCAACAGTCTGACATAGTGAATATCACAGAATCCTACCTTACACTTACTCAATGTGATAATAAGAAACAGCTGAAGGCACTGCATACAAGGTATAGAAAATGTAGAAAATTGCCCAGGTATGTCCTCGGCAAAAAGCAGGATAGGTCCAATCTGGTCAATTACTGCCCTGTCAGACTACTCTCCATTATCAGTCAAGTGATGGAAGGGGTCATCAAGCAGCACTTGTAAAGAAACAACCTGCTCACTAACGCTCAGTTAGGGTTCTGCCAGGGCCACTCAGCTCTTGATCTCAGTACAGCCTTGGTCTAAACGTAGACAAAAGAGCTAAAATCAAGAGGGTTCAGCATTTGACTAAGTAATCATGTAGGAGCCCTTGGAAAAATGATTTGACATTCTGTTTCATGAACCAGATTTTATTGAAAGTGAAAGTGGGTTTCCGCTATCCAAAAAAATCACCTATTTAATCTATGTTCAAGAGAATCTTGGGATGATTTACGATTTTCTTTGTAATCTGGAACGTTGTTTTGATTTTTACAGTCTATGGAACCAGTTAATAACTGCTTGGCACTTCGACATTTAGATTTGTCAGACAACAATATTTCCCTGATAGGTGACCTATCAAAACTCTTGTCTCTGCAGGTAAGATATGTAAACAATACTCCATCCTAATTTAAAACAATTGCTTGTTCAGGATACTGTGGAAAAGTTTACTCTTTCCCCTTGTCATATCAAGCAAATCACAACTTTTTAAGACATGAAGTGTGGAGCTACGTTGATGAATATGTCTGGTAAATACATTTTTATTTAATAGATACTGCTGTTGCATGGAAATACTATCACCACACTCCGATCTGCTTCCAGTCATCTGCCACCAGACTTGACCATCCTTTCTCTAGCTGAAAATGAGATCAGAGATCTCAATGAGGTATATTACATTTAATTTCTTGAAAGTAATAATGCCTAAAGTATATGATTCAGGTTGCTCAGTAGATTTGCACCAATAGTGTAAAGTGCAAGTACCAATCTATTTTTAGTAGTATACTATATTTACGTTCTAAAATCAAATGTATTTCATTGCTAACAGAATGTCATGTCATAATAAAGCTTCTTCCTTACCAATGCTTAAATGACATGTTTTTTTTATTAGGTTTCTTATCTTGGATTCCTTCGCGAGTTGGAACAGCTGTCAATCATGAGTAATCCGTGTGTAATGGCTACCCCCTCCCTCCCTGGATTTGACTATAGACCATACATAGTCTGTTGGTGTTTAACCCTGCGGATTCTAGATGGTTATGTAATCTCACAGAAAGAGAGGTAAATGAAAATATGGTTTCTGTTGAAGAATTATGTGCTGAATTTATAAGATTTAAGATGATCAGCTTAAAATCAAACCTTGTTCACTGGAATGTGTATTACATGGTAATGTTGTGCTTATGAAATAGGTTACTTCTTCTGGTAATATTTGTATCAAGTATTTCGGGTTTGTTACTGTGGTAGTTGGTCCCTTTAAGGACAATCCCTGAGGGTAGAGTCATATGACCTGCTAGTCCAATCAGAGAGGGAATGGGGAATCGCCCAGCAGATGAATCAGGGAACTAGGCATATATTTCGTTTTCTGTAAGTATGTTTTGTTAGCTGTATTTTATCATTGTGTTTTATAAGTAAATAGGCAGACCCAAACTTTAAAGTTTTAGTGACTAAATGATTAGATACAACGTTCAAGTTTGATATTGGGCTCTAATGTCAAAGAACCTCCAATGATGCTAATATAAGTTGAATTTAAGAAACAATTGATGCTGTATTAAGATTAGGTAGATGCTATAAATTCTCATTTGGTTGAAACTGAATTGAGACGAGTCAAACTTTTATTTAACAATGCAATGGTAAAATATCTTCAATCTAGATTTGATTAAAGACCCAAGAGAGATGATGTGTTTATTTACAGACGCACCTAATGTGCATTTTTGATCTTTGGCATGCTGTTTTCACATTGGATGAAAAAGCAGAAAATGCTGGAAATAGGCTGCATGTCAGTCCAGTGTCTGTTTATTATTTGATAACGACCCATTGATTGTATATTCCTTATTGAAACAACAGACTAGAAGGCTGCACACATTTCTTGCACCCATGGAGGTCCTGGACACTCAGTTTCCAGACACACTCATGTCATGCAAGTTCTCTGCATTATCTTTTTCTGCTGTCCTGCCACAATAAATGGACTCAAAGGAACCAACTAGATCAGTTAGTATACTCTACTACATTGTAGCAAAGAAACATAAAGCATATTTCTGATTATTCCATGCAACTTCCTGCACATCATTGAATTAGATCCCAGTGTGTATTGTTTACAATGTTGCCAAATGATGCAACGGTCACTCATTAAATTTAGACAGGGTTGATTAGTTAATGTGCAAAAGTCTGTGTGCTTATGTCCCACATTGAGGTTTCATGGTCACAATATAAACTGATTTGATTTATTTATTGTCATCTGTATTTTGTAACAAAATACACTGAACAATGTTGTATGGTGTCTCCACTCTATAGCGTCATCTTAAAACAGAAAAATAAACCAAAACATAGAATACAAAGGCAGAAAAATAAATAAATAGTGTTCAGCTTTACAGTCCTTCTCTAACTCTGTCCAACTTTGCCCCGGTCTCGGCTCATATGCTCTTGAAACCCTCATTAAATGATTGAGCAGTGATCTCATAGAAACCTTACATTTCTAACAAGACTGAACAGGGTAAGCGCATGAAGGATCTCCTGATGATCAGAGAATCCAGAATCAGGGTCACAGTGTAAGAATATGAGGTAGGACATTTAGGACTGGAATGAGGAAAAATTTCTTCATCCAGAGAGTGGTGAACCTGTGGAATTTCCTGCCACAGAGCAGTTGAAGCCAAAGTATTAACTATTTTCAAGGAGGAGATAGATATATTTTCTGATCGTACTTGGGAGCATATGAGAGAGTGTGCTGCAGAATTTAACAAACAAACGGGAAGATAAACTAAATAACAGGTTCCTAAATTTTTATCTATCTTGCAAAAAAGAGACTGGGAAATTTTTCATTCTCACACTGTGGGTTTCATTGACAAGACAATAACTAATTGCTCATTACCAGTTGCCCTAAGGAAAAGGGAGTGAGCTGCTTCAGTGAACTAGTAACTCTTTGTGATGAACGTGCTCCCAAATCTATATTTTCTCCACTTGATGCAGTTTTTATAGTCTGCCCTGTGCGATGCTGTGGCACAGAGCACTACTTAGTATGTGAATGCTCTTCAAAAGAAGAAATTGATAGTTCAATTATCTCTTTGTTGTTGTGGACCTTAGTGCTACAGTTCTTCAAAATGTATTTTAGGCAGCCATGTATCAATATAAGAAATATTCCACAAGCTGCTTTCATTGTGAAGCACCAGAGGAATTATTAATGTGCACCGCACCAAAGCTTAAATGATTTACAATTACATGACAATGATATTAGTTAGCTGCCAGGTCTCAATTCCTACAGTGCAGATACATGCCATTTGACCTATCGAATCTGCACCGACCCTCCAAAGAGCATCCCACCCAGACCCAATCCCTTACCTTATTACCGTAATTCCGTATTTTCCACGGCTAATCCACCTCGCCTGCATATCCCTGGACAGTGCAAGGCAATTTAGCATGGCTAATCCACCTAACCTGCATGGACTGTGGGAGGAGTCTGGAGCATTTGGCGATTAAACCCACACAGACATGGGAGAATGTGCAAACTCCACACAGACAGTCGCTTAAGGATGGAATTGAACCTGCGTTCCTGGCGCTGTGAGGCAGCAGTGTTAACCAATGGACTTGACCACCGCTGTGCTAACTGGTGTTTTGTGGTGGATAGGCTTCAGTGGCCCTTCAATCATGGTGAGAAGTAATGAGACCTTTTGAAGAGATTAGGTAGAAGTGAGGAACAATACAAATTTACTGCATAACATTTTATTCTGTTTCAGCCTCAAAGCAGAGTGGCTTTACAGTCAAGGGAAAGGCCGATCATTTCGACCTGGTCAGCATGTGCAGCTGGTCCAATATTTGGCCTCAGTTTGTCCTCTCACTTCAACTCCAGCACTACAATCTGCAGAGGATGCTAAACTTGAAAAAATCCTAAGTAAACAGAGGTAAAAATTAGCACCCACAATCTAAAAGTGGCCAAATTTTTTGTATAGCTGTATACAAACAATGGATAGTGAGTCTTGTTTTATTTTAAAATTTTCTCTTTTTACTGGAAGGAATATATTTAGTATCAGTGTCTAAAACATTTGTAAATTCAGTATATTAATAGTGATCTTGTGTATGTGATGTTTATATATACATCTACGTATGCAGAAATGAATACATATTTGCATATGCATACGCACAATTACAGATACATCCAAATGTATGTAGATACGCTTTTAAACATGAACCTGTACTGGTATCTTCCATTTAAAATACTTTCTAACAGTGTGTTTTATCATCACGCAGATCACACAAATAATCGAACTTTCCCAAATAGCACAGTCTCCATTTTCATTCAGCATGGGTACTGGGCATGTGCCAAGAACCATTTTGTAATTACGCTTGCTCAAGCCTGTTTTCTTAAACATACCGCTGTTTCACTCATTGCCTCTCTCAAGGACTTGGGAGACGATTGTGAGTAAGAAGGAGAAAGTAAGGGATTTGGAAGGAGGAAGCAATGAGAAAATATGTAAATCGGTATGGTGGTAAGGTACAAGTGGCTCTGGAGAGGGAGACAGTGGGAGGATGTGAATTGATAAGAAGAGTGAGTGGGTCAAAAGAGGAAATGAGGAAGCAGAAGGGTGTGAGGAGTTTGGTACAGGGAAACAGCTAGCAGCAAGGTTGAAGTAAGCTAGGAGAGGGTAGCAGCAGGTGGGAAGTGAGGAGTAAATTATTAGCATGAGCAAATTTTGAGCCAGTTAGGTTCAAGGCAACCAATAAGCTGCTTATTGTAAAAATTACAAGTTGAGAAAGTGAACCCACCTTTATTGTATCGTTGAGATACCACATTGTGGAGCTGGAGGAACACAGCAGGCCAGGCAGCATCAGAGGAGCAGGAAAGTTGGCGTTTCGGTTCGGGACCCGAAATATCAACTTTCTTGCTCCTCTGATGCTGCCTGGCCTGCTGTGTTCCTCCAGCTTCACACTGTGTTATCTCTGGCTCCAGCATCAGCAGTTCTTACTATCTCTGAGCGAGTTATAACCCTCTCAACTTGGGTGGCAAATTTGAGGGATCTATGGACGTGGACCCCAAGATCCCTCTGTTCCTCCACACTGCCGAGAATCCTGCCGTTAACCCTGTATTCTGCATTCAAATTCGACATTCCAAAATGAATCACTTCACACTTTTCCGGGTTGAATTACATCTGCCACTTCTTTGCCCAGCTGTGCATCCTGTCCATGTCCTGTTGCAACCTACAACAGCCCTCCACCCTGTCCACAACTCCACCAACCTTCGTGTCATGAATCTATTTCAAGTTGGACAATGGAACTTTGTTGGACTTTAGCCTCACATTGTGGAATGTTCTGACAAAAGTCTTGCAAACCTGTTGCCCCTTTTAACACTGTCCTTAAAACCTGTCTCTTTGTCTTCAGTGATGTCCACTAACTCCTACCCTGTTGGTAGTTAGCTTCTGATTTCATCATGCCAAGTGCTTTGGGGAACATTTTAAGGCTGCAATATTAACTGAGTTTGTTGATTACCTTAACAATTATTACTAGTGGGATTGCAGTCTGTAGAGATAAAATAAAGGGAAATTTTGTTGACCTGCAATTTATTTCCAAACCTGCATATTGAGATAATGTTGGAGAGCATGGTCTTCCAAAGGAAAATGCTCTACATTGTATGCACATTAAAATCCAATAGTTAGAATTTTACAATTAAACAGTTGTTTAATTTCAACCATTCTAAAATTTAGATGGTTTGTTGTACCGAAGATTCCTTTTTGATTAGATGTCATGTACAGTGAGTTCCTGAAAGCTAAGCCATCTAGAAAATGATTCGAATGTTAAGGCCCAATTGTATCAACTTGATATCAAGTTTTTTTTGTCAGTCCTTTGCATCTCCATCCATGACAATTACAGTGAACATAAGATCATTGCAGTTTTAGTATTGTGAATGGAATAAATTCAGTCTATTTTACTTGAGCTGTTTGTGGGACACATGTATGCCATTTGCACCATTTGAGTCCATGTCTGCTTTCTATGGAGCAACCCAGTCAGTTCAACTCCTTGTTCAATCCCACTAATAGTACAAGTTTATTTTCTTCATATGCTAATCTAATTCCTTTTTAAAATCAACACATAACCTTGCTTCCATCTTGTCAGCAGTGAATTCTAGATCATTATCACTCACTGCATTAAGAAAATGTTTTTCTATCACTCTGTTCCCCAAGACCAGTATGAAAATTTCATTAGGCCACAGTTGGTGTTTTGTGTGCTGTTCTGGTTGCCATAGTATAGGAAGGAAATATTCACAGCAGAAGAGATTCACTAGGATGTTATCTGCGCTATAGTGATTCAGCAATGAACAGACTGCTAGATAGGCTGGGGTTATTTTCCTAAGAGCAGAGAAAACTGAGGGTGAAAATCTGAAAGAGGTGTACAAAGTTCTGAGGGGCATAGACAGTGGAATTAGGGAGAAACCTTTCCTCTTAGAGGGGATAATAACTAGGGGGCATAGTCTATAGATAAGGAGCTGGAGATGTACAGGGCATTAGAGGAAAGAATTTTTCATCAAAAGGGTTGTGGGTATCTGGAACTCATTGCCTGAAAGGGTGGTAGAGGCAGGAACCCTCAAGACATTAAGAACTTATTTGATGAGCACTTGAAACATAGCATATAAGCCTATGGATCAAGTGCTGGAAGATGGAATTAGAATAGCTGGCCATTTGATGACACGTGCGAATACGATGGGATGGGCTGTAAAAACTCTGATTCTATGACTGTACATCTGTATTCACTAATCCTTGTGCTATCAGCTTTTTCATCTTAACCTTGTAGTTAAAATCCCCCCACTGAACTACTCTTGCGTACCCACTCAAAAAGCCTCGCATCCTTTCTAATGTGCAATGACTAGAACTAGGTGCAGTGTTCTAGCTGGGACTTAACCAGGCACTTCTAGAAGTTCATTATGACTTCCCTGCTTTTGTAGTCAATGTCTCTGTTCCCAAAGCCCAAGACTTTGGGCAGCTTATTTTGTTTTCTTTTGTCTGATGTTAGGCTTCACCAAATGGAGCTCCTGGAGAAGCTCCAGAATAGCAGCCATATTTCACAGTCAAGTCCAACCCGAGAATTGTCATTTCAAAGTGAAAGCAACAGCCCAACTCAAAGTTGCAATGCTCACAATGTAAAAGGTAAGAAGAATCCATGAATTTACAGTATAGTAGCTACAACTAACACAATGAAAAATGATTGAAGTACATTTGAATGTGTGCCGTTCCATTTTATATGCACTAGGATGCAATGTTTTTGATTTTGAATTAGTTTATAACCCCTGTGTCTCTGGCATTTGATGCATTTTCTAAACCTTCAGGTAGGCAATGCAAATATTGATTTGTAATATTTTGGGAATTTAATGTAATATAGGAGCTTTGCAGCAATCTTTTGGGTTTCCAGGTTAATGATTTCTGACAACACAACTTAAAATGGTGTGATACCTAGTAGAAATAGAGCAAACTGAATGAGAAAAGCCTTTGATGTGGTCACAGACAATAGGCGCATGTTTAAAGTTAGCCCATGTGCATTCAGGAAGCAAATAACCTTAAAAAGAGCACAAAGAATTAGGATAACATTAGTCTTTCAGATTGTAAGAAAGTAGAACATGGTGTTCTTCAAGGATCAGCATAATTTACATTAATCTTTTGTACTGAGTAACTTAGTATCAGAATTTGCAGATGATGCCAAAGTGGGGTGAGGGGATGAATCAAAAATGGCATGTAATACATTATCAAACATTTTCCACTTCGAGCCAAGTTTTGTAATCAGCTTTAACAAATAAATGTGAAGTAATACAGATTGGTAGGGAAAACAGAAGCAACATCTACAATCAGGAAATATGAAACGTGCAGTAGAAGAGCAAAGCAATCTAGGAATCATTGACAACACATCGAAAGTCAGCAAAACATTAAATATATGCAGTTAAGAATAGCCATAATCTAATCAAATGATGGAACAGGCTCATGGGGTTAGACAATCCATTGCTATTCTTATGCGTTCTCCTGTGTCTCAAACAGGGCTGTCGGAATGAATTAGATTAGCAGCATCAATTCTTGAAAGATTGAACTTCTCTGTTCTATGTAAACTTTAGTCAGGGAGATGTGTTGATGTTTGGAAACATTGTGTCAATGCTTTGGGAAGAGTGGGAGGTAACTTAAATTGATGACATAGATTGGAGCAAATCTCTTTATATATGGCAATGAATTAAGAATAAGGACAATGAAAAGGCAAAGGAAAATAGCAAAAATGTATTTCCAAATGGCTCCTAGACAATCAGTTCCTTAAGGGAGCTTCTGAATGTACAACTATCCTTGGCCATCTGCTACCATCCTTTGCTCTTCTCTTTCTTTGAGCTATTTTAAGTTCCCCAGGCGCTAATATTAGAAGCATTTTAACCTGAACTTCAAGTTAATTCCCAGTTTGGATATCATCAGTGTACTTACTTTAAATGCTAATCCCCTGACTTTGTCATCTCTTTAAAGGTCTGAATCTTTTCCAAACTTTGCTTCAAACTCCTGGACTTGTCAAAGCCACACTTGTGCTCTTGATCTATGTTGGATTAAACCATAAGATTTTATTAGTCTGCAACTCTTCTCCCACTACTGTGACTGAGGAATTTCTGCCTCCTCCTGGGCATTTCAGCTTCATTATGATCCTGGCCAGAAACTCGTGACCTGAGTTGAAGTACTAACCTCTGCTCCTGGAATTTGGAGTGACCTAAACATCACCGTATTTCTGCCCTGCAACCAATTGTGTACTTACTGCAACTTCATTCTCGGCAAAATTATCTCCATCAGTACATCCTTTGATACTGTATCCTCAAATGGCTCTGGACTTCACTTATTCAAAGATCAAAGAATCCTTACAGTGTGGAAACAGGCCCTTTGGCCCAACAAGTCCACAACGACCCTCTGAGCATCCCACCCAGACCCATCCCCATCCCCATCCCCCCCATAACCCACCTAATCTGCACATCCCTGAACAGTACGGGCAATTTAGCATGGCCAATCCACCTAGCCTGCACATCTTTGGACTGTGGGAGGAAACCCACGCAGACACAGGAAGAACGTGCAAACTCCACACAGACAGTCGCCCGAGGGTGGAATCAAACCAGTGTCCCTGGCACTGTGAGGCAGCAGTGCTAACCACTATTGTACCCGTTTAAAAATTTGGACGGTCATTAATGCTCCTTGCTGATGTATGTAAATGTTATTCCACCCCCAGACATCTGACTTTAACTCTGGATTCCCACCTAATGTCTCCAAACTGTTTCCTATTTACTGTTGGGTTCTGCTTTGTAACCATGCCTATGTAGATTGCATTTTCCCTGAAACTAGTCACATGCACATTGTAGCTACTCTGGATTCGAGCCCATCACTTACATTTCCCCTTGTCCTGAACTTAGATTTTTGGGTTGTTTCTATGCCTCCTCATTCCCTCTCCTGTGTTCACCTTGTCCAATCTTCCTTAGCACTAATTTAATTAAACTCCTGACCAACCAACTTCCATCCTGGTCCTCATGTTAATGGTTCTTTCTCCCAAGGTTATGTTCTCTCTCTCTCTCTCTCTTCAAATATGCTGCCATCATTTCTCAATAACTAACCCTTCGTCCTCCATTGGCTCTGCAAGTTATCACTCCATCTCCAGCTTCCCTTTCTTCTCCCTAGCCCTTGAATGTAGTGTTGCCACCCAAATCGATGCCCATCTTTCCCAAGACTGCATATTCGAATTCAGTTGGATTTCTGACCATGGTCCTGTCGTAAGACTGAAAACAGTTATTAATAAAGTCATAAGCGACACCTTATTTCCCCAAAGCAAACTATCCCTCATGTCCTTCTTGGTCTGCTCGTGGCCTTGACACTGATGATCTCTCTTATCTTCCTCCAAAGCCTTTCCACTTTCACCCGGCTAGTTGGAGTTGCACTTGTGTGGTTCCACTGTTGTTTATTGTAGCCAGACTATTAGTTGCAATAGCTTCTCTTCCCACTCCCACATATAACTCTGCTATTCCCAAAGCATCAATTCTTGGATTGGGTATTCTGAAGATGTGCGATGAGCAGCCAGAGGTTGTGGTCCACATGCGTACTAATAACATAGGCAGAAAGAGAGATGAGGTTCTGCAAAGGGAGTTAACTAGGAAGTTGACAAGCAGGACATCTCGGATTGTAATCTAGGAATTACTTCTTGTGCTACACTCCAGTGAGACTCGGAATATGTGGCAAAAGAGCTGGTGTGGGAGGGAGGGCTTCAGGTATGTGGATCATTGGGATGTCTTCTGGGGCAGGTGGGACCTGTACAAGAAGGACAGTTTGCATCTAACTGGAGGGGCACCAATATCCTGACAAGGAGGTTTGCTAGTGCCACTCAGGAGGGTTTAAAGTGGTGTGGTAAGGGTTTGGGAACCAGCGCAGTAGGTCAGCAAATAAAATGACTGAGGAAGAATCGGAGTCTAAGGCCAGTAAGACTAAGAGGAAGAACAGACAGGGGGAAGTTACTGATCGCGGTGGGACTGGCAGTCTGTGGTGCATTTGTTTTAAGCCTTTGACAAGGTTCCATGTGGTAGATTAATTAGTACAGTTAGATCATGTGGGATTCAGAATTAGCTTGCTAATTGGATACAAAATTGTCTTTACAGTAGGAAACAGAGGGTGCTGGTGGAGGGTTGTTTTTTGAACCTGAGGCCTGTGACCAGCAGTATTCTACAGAAGTCAGTGCTGGGTTCACTTGTGTTTGCCATTTATATAAATGATTTGGATAAGAATATAGGAGGCATGGTTAGTAAGTTCGCAGATGACACAAAAATTGGTAGTAATGCAGACAATGAAGAAGGTAATCTAAGATAACAAAGAGATTTTGGTCAATTGGGTCAATGGGCTGAGGAGTGACAGATGGAGTTTAATTTGGATAAATGCAAGGTATTGCATTTTGGTGAAACAAACAAAGGCAGGACTTGTACAATTAATGGTAGGACCTTGGGTAGTGTGTAGAACAGAAAGACCTATGTGTTCAGGTACCTAATTCTTTGAAATTTGGGTCACAGGTTGACAGGGTGGTTAATAAGGCATTTAGCATGCTTGCCTTCATTGCTCAGACCTTGAGTATAGGAGTTGGGATGTCATGTTGAGCTTGTACGGAACATTGGTGAGGCCTCTTCTGGAGTACTGTGTGCAATTCTGGTTGCCCTGTTATAGGAAGGATATTATTAAACTAGAGAGGATTCACAAAAGATTTACCAGGATGTTTGCCGGGAATGGAATGTTTGAGTTATAAAAATAGGCTAGGATTTTTGAACTGGAGCATAGAAGTTTATAAAATCATGAGAGACATAGATATGGTGAATTGCCAAGGCCTTTTCCCCTAAGATGGGGGAGTTCAAAACTAGGAGGCATATTTTTAAGTTGAGAAGAGAGAGATTTAAAAAGGACATGAGGGGTAACTTTTTTTACAGAGTGGTTGGTATGTGGAATGAACTGCCAGAGTAAGTGATAGATGTAGCTACAGTTAGCTACAGTTAAAAGACATTTGGATAAGTACACGAATAGGAAATACTTCGAGGGATATGGGCCAAACACAAGACCGTAGGACTAGGTTAGTTTAAGTACATGGTTGGTATTGACTAGTTGAGCTGAAGGATCTGGCTACGTGATCCCTGTGGTACCCTACAAGTCAGTAAAGGCCACATGGAAAAAGATCTGTTTATTCCTCCTCTGTTTTCTGTGTGGCAACTAGTTTTCTATCCATGTCAGTACCGTACTTCCAATCCCATGTTTAGTTTTGCATACTAATCCCTTAGGTGGAACCTTTATTGAAAGAATGTTAACAGCATGTAGCTAAAGTAGTAATGTGTATTAATTGTTAGATTAAGAGAAAATGGTGTGTCTTTGATATGATGTAACTACATACTAAGTAATATGCAATAAACCTTGTACTGTTCATCAAGATTGAGTTTGTCTTCTGTCTCGGATATCAAGTGGGCATTTTTTCCCACAAGGTATTAGTAGCCTAGTCTAATGTCACTAAGAATGATTGATGGCAGTGAATCTACCCAAGATATTGCTAAATCATATCTAACATCGGGATAGGGACTGTGGTGAAGACTTTGTTGGTTAAAATATTCTGGCAGCTGTGACCTCCACTGCTTCATGTTATAAGAGCAGAAACCAAACGTGACTGTTTCCCTTGAGCAGGTTAACAGAATTGATGTGAAGGAATATGAGATTTTACAGCATTGCTTTAAAAAAACTTTGCTTTCCTGTTACAAAGTTAAAATTCTTTTGTTTTGTTATATTGTAGAACCTGTAATTCGAATTAACGCATGGGTTGGTGCAAGTGACCGTGGAGACCAATGTCAAACAGTCGAACAGTTCTCATCAAGACAGACTGCAGGGTCTTGTCACAGTGAGCTCTTGTTGGAGGATATCCAGACTGATGAGGACAAACTTAATTGCAGTCTTCTCTCTTCAGAGTCTACATTTATGCCTGTAACCAATGCAATGTCTCCTCTTTCACCTTCCAGCGATCAAAGGCTTCCTGGAGATATTCTGGCTGTAGAAGCTGATGTTGTGTCATCGTTGCATTTGGAAACTGGGGATATGCATGAGGATAGTGATGATCAAAAATATCAGAGGGCTGCAAGAAGAACAGAAAACTATGGAGGATGGGTGGAAAAAGCCATTTACAAAAGTAAAGAAGAGAATGACAGCAAGTTGTTCCATGTATCCAGTCCAATGAAATCATGTGTAAATGTTAGTTCAGGTGTAAACAAATGCCTGGAGTCAGCTGCATTAACGAAAGAGCACAGTTTGCTAGACAACAGATTGCCCAAATGGCTATCAGTGGAAGTTGACCAGAAGATGATAGGAGAAGACTCAAAGCCAGATAAGTCTGGCTCATCTGAAAGAGTTGAGCCAAACCCAGAATTTCTAAATCAAATTAATAAAGCAGCCGTAAAGATTCAAGCACTCTGGCGAGGATTCTACACCAGGAACTGCAATAAAAAGGCGAAGGAAATACGTTGTGAAATCCGGCTGCGTAGGATGCAGCAACATGTACAATACTTAACTAAAGAAGTAATCAGGTGAAATACTTGAGAGGGAGGGGTTCTTTTTGAGAATTCTGTTTAAATATATCTGACTTAATCAATCTCAGATTTAAACCTATGAACTGATCTAGCATGATTTGCCATTTGTAGATGAGAGTTTTATCACTAGGTGTAGATCTATTCCCTAATTTCATTGTTGAAAGGTCTGACTCAGTTTTTTAGACAATGCCTCTGAGGGTTAGATTCCCCAAGATACAACTCTATGACTCTAAGTAAAAATGGTTTCTTTCTACGTACCCTATTTCTTCCATTTAATAACTTTAGAACTCTGGTCAAACCCTTTGTCTTTTAATTTCCAGGGACTACAACCTTAGTTTGTTTAATCTTTCTTTGTAATTTAACCCTTGGAGTACACACTATCATTTTGGTAAATATGCATTGTACTCCTTTTGAAATTAACATACCTTATCTAAGGTTTAGTGCCCAGAATAGTTCACAGGACACCAGCACTGGACTAAATAGAGCTTAGTATAGCTGTAGCATCACTTCTACTCCTGGATTCTTGTCCTCAATAAATAGAGGTCAATATCATATTAACCTTTTGGATCATCTTCTGTGCCTTTTCATGACATTTAAGTGAGACATACCTGGGACCCAAAGTCTTTTTGGTTCTCCACTGTTCCTCACTTTTCATTCTTTGGGAAATACTTTATTGCATTCTAATTGGGTCCTTGAACATACAACAGTACAGCTCAGGATTAGGCCCTTTAGCCCACCTTGTCTGCATTGACCATGATGCTATCTAAACTAATCTCATCTGCCTCATGTGGTCTGCCTGTGTTCTCTGCCTGTTCATGTGTCTGTCTAAATGCTGGTTAAGCTTTGCTATTGTATCTGCTTCTACCACCTCCCCTGGCAGCATGTTCCAGGCACCTACCGCCATATGTGTTTTCAAAAAAAAACCTTGCCTCACGCATTTCCTTCATTTTCCCCTCTAACCTTAAACCTATGCCACCTAGTATTTGCGGATCCACAGTGAGTTGGTCATAGAAGACAGAGGGTAGTTGTGGACATCTGAGAACAGTGGTGTTCCGTAAGGATCATTATTGGGACCTCTGCTTTTACTATATGTAAATAGATGAAAATGTAAGAGGTCTGATTGGTAAGTTTGCAGACAACACAAAAATTGATTGAGTTATGAAAAGTGAAGAAGGTTGTCAAAGGATACAGCAGGATTTATATAGGTTAGTTGGAAAGTTAGGCAGTGAAATGACAGACAGCGTGTAATCAGGACAAATGTGAGGTGATGCATCTCGGGAGGTCAAGTGCAAGTGGAAAGTATACAATAAATGGCAGGACCCGTAGGAGCATTGACATAGAGAGGGGTCTTAGGGTGCAAGTCCATAGTTCCTTGAAAATGGCAACACAAGTGAATAAGATGGTTAAAAAAGCATGAAATATGCTTGCCTACATTAGTTGGGCATTGAGTATTAAAGTCAGCAAGTAATGTTGCAGCTGTATAAAATTTTAGTTCGGACACAATTGGCGTATTATGTTCAGTTCTAGTGGCCACGCTGTAGAAAAGATGTGGAGGCTTTGGTGAGGATGCAAAGAGATTAACCAGTATGTTGCCTGAATTGGAGTCATTAGCTTTAGGGAAATTTTGGACAAACATGGGTTGTTTTATCTAGAGCATCAGAGGCTGAGGGGCGACCTGATAGAAGTATATAAAATTGAGAGGTATGGATATGATGGATAGTCAGTCTATGTGAATGAACTCTCATTTGTCTACATTAAAATCCTTTTGCACAATCACTTGCTCAATTAATATCTCTTCATAAATTTATGCTTGCTTTTAATCTGCTTACACTGCTACTGATTTTTGTGGTTATCATAAACTTGGATGTGTGGCTTTTTACTCCCATCATGTAGATCATTAAAACATTTAGTGAATAATTGTGGTCTAAAGTAGATCCTTTGCAGAGGACTACTGAACACATCCTGTCAATTGGAGTAGTTGGTCTTTGTTGCTACTCTCTGTCCCTAGATACAATTTTCTAACAGGTCTGTACCAGGCTACAATGCCAAATTTTAACTTTTAATTAAGTCTTTTATGAAGGACATTATTAAATGTCTCTTGAAAGTCCATATGAGTGACATCCAGGTTCACCAGGTAGACGTAAATCCAGCCCAATTTCAAGTAATTTTCCAACAACTGGTATTGGATATTTGGTGCATCATTATCTATTTTCTTCTTTCATCTGTCTTGAAAAGTACAGTAATGTGCAATTTCACAACATGAAGGATGGCTCCCAAATCCAGTGAACTTTGAAAGATTAAAGGCATTTATTTGCAATATATAACATGTATATATCTGACTTGAATGAAGGAAGTGAATGCACTTTCACCAGGTTTGTGGGTAACACAAGAATAAATTGGAAGGCACGTGGTGAGAACAATTGAGTCTATGAAAGATATAAAGCAGTTGGGTGATTGGGCAAAAACTTGGTAAATGAAATATGATGTTGGGAAATGGCAGAAATTTCAATGGAGAGACTCGGAAAGTTGCAGCACAGTGGGCTTTGAGTTCTTTGTGCATGAATCACAAAAAGCTACCATATGAATTCAGTGCGTAGTAGGGGAAACAAATGGATTGCTGGCTTTTTTTCAAAGGGAATGGAATACTGAAGTAGGGAACTCTTGCTAAAACTATACAAGGCACTAATCAGATCACAGTTGGGATACTGTGAACCGTTTTGTTCCCATCCTACAAAAAAAATTGCTAACGAAACACAGCAGGTTCTGGTAGCATCTATGGGAAGAAAGCAAAGTTAACATTTTCGAGTCTGGTGATTCCTCTTCAGAACATTCCCCTAGTCTAAGGTAAGATATTACTGGCATTAGAGACGGTCCAGAGAAGGTTCATAAGCTTCATTCTGAGTATAGAGAAATTTTTTTGAGGAGACGTTGAATAGGTTGGACTTGTACTCATGTGCAGAATAAGAGAAGACCTTATTGAAACATATGAGATTCTAATGGAGTTACAGAGTAGATTGTTTCCCCTAGTGGGAGAGTCTAGGGCCAGAGGACATAATCTTGATTAAGGAGTCACCAATTAAGACAAATGAAGAACTTCTTCTGAGAGTAGTAAATCTGTGGAATTCTTTACCATGGAGAATTGTTAAGACTAGGTCATTAAGAATGTTTAAGGTTGAGAAAGGCAGATTTTTAGTTGTTGAAGAATCAAAATTCCTGGAGATAAAGCAGGACACTGCGGATTATCAGATCAACCATGATCTCTTTGAATGACAGCAGACTCAAGGAGCTGAGTGCCCTATACCTGCTCCTTGGTTTTATGGCCTACCATTAGGCCATATGCAATATGCTCACATAATTTCAAATCCTGGGATGAAAACCATCTAGTATTAGGAATTCGTCAATTTTTAGTGCATTATTTCCTTGATTGTTATTTTGCTTACATTAATTTTGTTAAGTTTGGTCTCTCGTACAATATGAATTTCACTGGATTGTGCCATGTTGTGAACTTTGCTTAGTAGATGAGAAGTAATCGTTTTCATTGGCAATATCACTGTTATTCAATTTGAAGGGCTCTGAATCTATGAGAAGTGTCAGAATCTTTAAAAGGGAACATCATTGAAGAGGAAGTGAGAAAAAGTTTTTTTTTTCACTTGCCTTCATTCTGTCCCTCATCAATATGCCCTCAACAATCTGCATACTCTCCGTTACACTCCCTACCTCTTGAATATGTTCTTTCCAAAAACGTTTCAATCTTCTTTTGATCTATGTTTGGACCTTTGTAGATGGAGAAAAGAATGTGAAGAAGAACGTATGCAAAGGATGGTGCAGGAAGAAGCTGTAAGGTTTTTATGGAACCAGGTAACTTCCATTGGTGCTTGTGGCTCAATGAATTTGCTTATCACAAAAATAAGTGAATCTATTCCCAGTATAACTGTGTTTTTGAAAATTGAATATTGCAGGTGAAGAGCTATGGCACATTGCACATCACACCAAAATTGTAATAAGTAAGAAAGCAGAACTCATATTTCCAATAATAAAAGTAGGGTCAAAAAAAATGGAAACGATTAGACAAGTACACAATTACTGTTTCTTTGAGGAAGGATCTGGTTAATGCAGAAGCTTGAGATAATTACCTTTAAAATATAACTGTCATCCCTGGTTAAAAAGCATTCATACCTTTAAAATAGGTTTATGTCGTACTGTGGTAGTGGAAACTTCAGGACCTGCCAATATTTAGTCAAAAACAGACAGTAACAAACTGTTAAAATGGTTGCCAAGGGGTGTCACGTGAAGTTTGCAATTCAAGACAGACAATCATGATCTGAGAAAGTTCCAAACTGCATTTATATTGATTGGGAGTACTCTCCTTGAACTGATGTACATACGCAGCATTCCTTGTGGAATTTCATGCCATTGTCACGGTGTTTTCGGACAGATTTCGACAATGTGTTCCTAGATTCTGTCCCCAAATTTAGTGTAACAAGGGAGAGCTGACAAGACTAGCTATCCACACCTTAAGTATGAAAGACTAATTCACCAGAAGGTGAAAGGTCACTTCAGCAACACATCAAATAAATAGTTGACATTCTTGATGCCCTTCATTTGTTGGACAATTTTAAATGCCCTTTTACTGCTGGAAGAGAAACAGACTTTAAACTCACCAGTTAGTTTATTTCACTGTTTGTCTTTTACTCATTTACTGATGTGCTTCATCCACTGTCTGTAGGATATAATTACTGTCTGACAAATTAACATTGGAAGTTTCCACTGTAAATGTGGACATAAGACTTTACAATAGCAATACAAAAATTTTTAAATGGGGTCTGAATTGTACCACATGCTTTGAAGGCAAAATACTTGATTGTTGACTCCATGTGCTCCACCACTGAAATTTAACTGGTACATTACACTGCCGCCTTAAAATTTTCAAAAGCTAGCATTGTATTTGTGTCGCTGTGGCCACTTAACTGGTCCATTTTTAAATCAAAGCTTGCCCACCTTAGTGTAGGATCTTTCACTTCCCACCCGAATATTTTGGCCCTAGCGTAATGTTCCTCATTGTCTATATTCCATCTTAAAGTCACCAAACATGGTTACAACTGAGGAGGTAGAGATCTATGAATAGTTTCTCACTCGGGTCACAACAGTTCTGATGGCCTAAATGTCTGAAACCTCCTTTCTTCAATCTTTTTATAATTGGTCTGAAACTCTGGCAGTACTGATACGGCAGCAGTAGGTCTTAGCCAATCCATAATCAGTTATCTTTCCTGTTTTCAACATCCTGCTCTTTATAACTATTTAACAAACACATTAACACTGTCTCTGCTTTATCCTCAGAGGCCTGCATCAATACCAGGATCTGTTTGAAGACTCCAAATAGAAAACTATTCCACTTGGAGAGAACTTCTTTTGTTTCCCCTTTAACCTGAATACTCTGGGTTCAGAGGTGCCAAACAGAAATTGCAGGTTGATTCAACCCCACTGTAATTAGCTTTCTATTTATCCTTTGGTCCTTACTAGATTCCAAATAGTTGCCATGTCATAATCAGGAAACTAAATAAACTTTCTGAATACTCACCAGCCCACTTTGGTTAAGGGGACATTGCACAAAAACAATTAGTCTTTCCCATCAAATGAGTCATCACACAGGTTAGAAATAGGTTTAAAATTTTAACAAGTGACCCAACCCAACCCACTTGTTCTTGAGCGTTAGCGTTCAGCCCAATAAGTAAGTGATTGAACATTTATAATATTAAATGTACAAAACATGTATGTGTGCATTTAATCTTACGGATTTCAGAAAAGCTATTTATATGGCATGTTTTTGTTCCAGTCTTTGTGTTGTTCTTTTCCTTTTGGCAGGTTCGGAGCCTCCAAGAATGGCAAATATGCATGACTCAGAAGCAGAATGGAGTATTGCAGGCCTATGCTAAAGAATCCATTTCCCCACAGCATATGTTTATTCATTCATTTGAAGGCACACCACAGTCCTTTCTCTTGACTGACCACCCGAGTCCTACCTCTGGACAAGATACTCACTTGGGACGTTCATTGCAAGAATTTCCTGATTCTGGCTTTCAGTCCTCAGCCATCACCTGTAATTGTCTCCAAGATTCCTTGAATTCTCATCGGAGTTCTTCAGCAGGGAGCACAAACACAGTTGTAGAAGTCCCCTGCATTGTTAAAAAAGATTACAAATGTTTGACTGAGGAGTTCAAGGAGCCAGAAACCCTAGATTCCAGCTGCACACCCAGTAGTAAAGAAAACTCGGATAACAGTGAACAGGACAGCAGTCTTATACAGCAATATCTTAATTCATTAAGGCAACTGGATGCCGAAGATGATGAACCAAATTTTAACAGGAGGACAGAATGCGGTTCACAAGAATGTGATACTGTGAACAATGTTCATGAATCCCTCTGTGGTGCTCCAATTCAAATGTCTGGTGATTGTAATACCAAGTTTCCAGAAGCGTTCTGTCAAGCAGAAGTGGCTGTCATTGAAACTGACATTGTGGACTGTGTAGATGTACAAGGAAAAAGTCATGAACTAATCCCAAAGCATTGAGTAGATGCCAATAACTAGTTAACTGTATTCAGTTAAGAACAGTGCTAATAAGGTCATTTTTTTTGACAATATGCATACTAATGTGAAAGCAATATATGAAGGCATAGAAATATTTCAAGCTGAAAAATACTACATTCAAAAATGAAATGTTATTGTGATAATTACACAATGTACATTTTTTCAAAAGCTCTTTTAGGATGCGATTTAAATGAAATATTAACAATTAATTATTTAGATTTTCTTGTCAACATTCCAGAGCAATGATTTTCAGCCTCAGTATCTGCAATCTTAAAATTTTTTGAATGGTTTTTACTTTTCTGAAGAATAACATTTACTCTCTTCTGTCAGTGTACTGAGCCATTCACAATTCCTGGTTCAAAATCTGCACATCTCTCCACATCTCCTGTCGGCATGATAGCATGACCAAGATTATTCCATTCCTATATGACATATGATAGTGGCGAATTTGCACACCACACTGGCAAAACATGTAGCAGCAATCTAGAATGTCATCAGTTTGCTGACTTGTTTCTGTTAGTAGTCTTTATTGATGGAAATATATTCTTCACCATTACAACAATAAGTTATTTATGTGTGTGAGGTGATGCTCATGATGGACTGATTTAGCACTACTCTGCCAAGAAGGGATTATATTATTGTAGTTTTGACAGATTTCTGCAACCATAATTTCTCTCACATGCTAATTTACACTATGTTAGTAGACCTGTTTTTGTATCCCAAGGATTCTAATTCTTGAACAGTTGGTGGACAACCTGAAATCTGCTAATCAAAAGCTAAAATAATATGCTAGTAGCTATAGTGGAGTTTCAGTTAATTGTGTATTTGGTAAGTGTGCATTTCTTTACTATTGTGGAATAATTTATTTGTCCGTCCTTGGGAGAGAGTAAAATTTATTGGACCTGCAAAGCAAACATTAATGAAGTTGACTAAATACATTGCAGATATGGTTCTGAGATGAAAACCATTCAATTTCCAATTGTACTAAAAGCTAGTGTGAGACATTACTATAGAATTCAGCATTTCTTTAACCAGCTTATTGCGCGTGACCATTATTCCATAATCCTCCATGTGTCTGTGAGCATCCAGTGAAAATAAAACCAAGCTGGACTGTTGTTACCTAGCATCACATATAAAATTAACTTTGACTTGTCAAAGCCTGAAAAATATGTCTTGTATTGTGTTCTGCTGTCAGTGATAACATTATGAGCAATTAACTTACTGGAGAACTACTTCTGTGAAATTATAACAGAAATAAAAACAAAACAGCTGGCTATGCCTGTACTATTAGGTCTTGTTATGTGTAACCATGTGGTTAGGAGCAATTCCTTTGAGCTTCATCATACATTTAGATGTGTGGCATGGAATGGGCTACTGATCTGAGGACTATTTGCAGCTGAACTTGTATATAGAGACTAAAGCTGAAGAAAATATTGCTAACACTGGAAAAAGTTACATCCCTTATATGAGTGATTTATTATTTCATTTTATGTAATGAATATATGAATGCTTATATTCAGATTATTGATAAAATGCATGAAACGTATCCTCGATAGTTCGAAGTAGTTTCTAGTGAAAGTTATGGCAAATAATAACTAACCACTAAGATATGCATGTACCTCTTGCTCAGAAATATCGCATTTTTCAACCAAATTGCATTTTACAATAGCAGTGTAAAGAAAGGAAATTATATCCAAGCAATTAAGTATTAAGTGACCATTTGACTTTAGCGTAACCTGGGTGCACATGTTTTTAGTGGCAATTTTTACACTTCCAAATGATGCAAAGTTCTTTTCGGCCTTTGCTTATTTTGGTTCAAAGATGTATATCTGTAAGAAATGTGCATTTAAAATTTATGAACCCTAATAATGTCTGTGCCATATGTAAGAATTGTTAACTATATTGGGGGCGTGGGGAGAGGAGAGGAGGTGGAGAAAAGAATTGGGGTGAGCAAACTGATAAGTCACTGAGAATTCCCAATCTTACATGTGGCAGTTTATATGTTCTTACTGTCATTGCTTTAACCTGTAGGGATTTGAAATCTGGGTCAAATTTACTTATTCTTGGAATAAGTGCAAAGTCTTCAGATTTGTTTCTACTGGAGTGAAAATGCTCTGCAGCGTGCACTGAAGACAAAGATTATGATAATTGAATTCCACAAAGGTCAGTATCTCTCCAAATCAATCTTTTTGCAAAAATTGAAGTAATAACCACCTTCTTTCTGCCTTTTTCAAACTTTGTGTTTTACATGTATAATACACCGTTTTGTTGATGTGAGAACTTTTGAAATGCAGTTATTTATTAATCAAATTTTAAGTTACCTCATCTGTACAGTAATACACCTTTTGTTTGCTTTGCTTTTTAAAACAAATTTTCTTTGTGGTTGAGGGGATAGTAGGAACTGATTTGTCACTGAGCAGCTTCATTAATCTTCATTTGTAATAAAGCTTTCTCAATACTGTCAGCTGTCAATTTTATTTGTAACAAAATGTAAATAAAGCCTGTAGACCATAATCTAATGTTTTAAAATAGAGCTGATAAGATTTACAAGCAGTTGAGGTTCACAAGCAATTTGTGAATTTGCAGAAGTATTTTATATCCTGATCCTAGAATTAGATCTTTGACTTTTTAGTCTGTGTATATATCTGTCAGATATATACTTTTTGTTACCCACTGAAAACAATCTTCCCCATGAATTATCTGAAGTTGTTTGTTATTTTGTAGAGACAAAAATAGGGCAAAATTGACAACTGCAACAAATTGACATTAAAATGTGAGTTCCATCAGTTGAAAAGCATAAATGAATTATTGTTTTAGAAATTCATTTTGTGATGATGGGGCTCCACTCAAAAAATCAACTTTCCTCAATTTTAGGACCCTCCATTTTGGCATATTAATTTGAAAATCAAGGGATAAACAACTTGATATTGCACTGAGTAGAATCTGGGCCAGACTTAATTTCCCCATTAAATTAAAAAACCCAAAGAACTGCGGATGCTGAAAATCAGAAACAAAAACAAATTGCTGGAAAAGCTTGACAGGTTTGGCCTCCTCTGTGGAGAAAAAGAGGTGTTAATGGTTTGGCTCCATTGACCCTTCTTTGTTTTACTCTGTTCTTAATTTCCCTATTGTTTTGACAAATTTAGCCATGCAATCTGATAATCTGGTCTATACAACAACATTGAGATCAAATCCCAAATTATCTCTTGATGGCAGTTAATTATGTTGAAGTGATTAGTTGGAGCACTGTCCCTGGAGTCTAATGCAACAAAGTTAGTAGATTTAAGAAAAAATATTCTTGAGCAGAATTGAAGTCCGTGGCACGATCTAACCTTGAGTAATTCCAATATAACCTACCAAATTTAGATGTTGTTTAGTCTGGACAGGAACAGCACACTTTCACCAAAAGCCTGTCACAATTTAACCACCGGCCAAAAAAATTATTTTGTATGTAAGTGTAAACTATTGTTTCTATGTTTGAAGGGCAAGTTTGTGGTCTACTTTATTGTTTGTTTACATTATATTTATTTGAATACTTTGGTACTTTTTTTGTATACCAGTTTAATACTTAATAAAATGAGTTTTCAAGCATCTGAGTAAAATTTTGTGAAAGTTTGTCATTTCTCTTATTTGATTTTCACCCATTTTGTGATCTGAATCTTTTCTATATTTACATAATGAAAGTTTTGTCAGAATTTAAAGAATTATGGTGGGAACCTGAAATATTTTAATTCTGTCCATTGAAATAGGAAAACAGCAATATATTTATAGCCTTTAATCTTCTGTTGAATAATCAGCTGCAGTGTTTCAGCCTAGTTTATTTATATTGAAGTGGTGACTGAATTTACCTGACCTTTGTGTTTGTACATAGTTCAGGCAATGTGTCAGTTGGGAAGCTGGCACCAGTAGTAGAGAACTTGATGTCAACAGGTGAGTGGAGCTGAACTTCAAACAGCTAGGAGAAAAATGGTACACTTCAGCTGCTGAAAACCTGAAACAAAAATAAATGGCAGAGCTGCCAATTAAGTTAAATATTTCAAGTGTACACTCGATCTGTCATTTCTTATGAACAGCATTTTGAATGAAACAATGAAAGAAAGGAAAAAAAAACGAGTACACAAGTCAAGAACTAGAATTATCAGAAAAATGTTAAAACGGAACATAGATAATTAACATGATAATGTAAGGAGACATAATTAAAGTCATTTAAAGTTAAAAGATGCTGATTCGACTCAGTCTGATCCACCTCGGATATTTTCCTAGAAACATGAATGTCTGACACTTACTTACACTTTGCTTCCAAAGGCAACGTAAATGCAGTAATTTTGCAATGTATTTGCTCAACATGAGCCAAAATGTAATGGTTTCACTCACTGGTGACAGACAAGCTATTAGAAATCCCATGTAAGTTTGAATCCAAAGCTGTACCCATTGTAGGAAAGTTGTCAAGGTACAGGAAAAAATGGAGAGGGAGTTTGCCGGATTGATACCATAGATGAGCGATATGTGAAAAAATTAGAGAAGCTAGATTTGATAGATTATTCTAAATTTGAGGGGCTTTTGTAAATCAGGATAACTTTTGAAAGAGCCACAGCAGTGATAAGAATATCTTTCTTCTTCAGTAATGAGTGATGATGCCGAATTTACTGCCTGAGAGGATTTAGACGGAGATTCTTAAGTGGATCTATATTGTTTACTTCAACTACTCATCAGAGCAATGCCTCCTTCTACACATTTTAATTCTGCACAATTCTCATGATTTTTCCAAAAAGCAAGTCAAACTAAGAAATGCTGGAAATAATTCTGTGTTTATCTAAATATCCCCCCTTCAGAAAAAGATTGCATGCAGTATCATTTGAAAATTATTCCACGTACATAGTCAAAGAAAAATAACTCTGTCCCTACATATGCATTGAACACAGTCTAAAGTGTTTCTGAGGTGGCATTGTGTCTCTGGGGAATACATGAACCAAAGAATCATCGAATGCCCACAATGTGGAAGCAGGCCATTTGGCCCATTAAGTCTGCCATGACCCTCCGAGGAGCATCCCACCCAGACCCCCCCAATCCTCGTAATCCTGCATTTCAACCCTGCATGGCTAAACCATCTAGGTTGCAAATCCCTGGACACTATGGGCAATTTAACACAGCCAATCCACCTAACTTTGACATCTTTGGACTGTGGGAGGAAACCCAAACAGGCATGGGGAGAATGTGCAACCACCACACAGAGGTTAGCATGCAGGTACTTGAAAAAGCAAATGGATGAAAGATATACTTGTTGGCACAGTATATTTGAAAGAGGGATTCTCTTCACAGGATTGCTTGCAGACATTCAGAAGATGTTTGTTTTTCCAAGCTTCCCTGATATTGAGTCCCCTGCCCACTGCTGGGTGCAAGTCACTAGGGTTGAGGTGAGGCCTATTATGGGCTTTAATTACACACTTTTAAGGCCTCATTAATGGCCAGAAGGCCACATTTTCACCTATAGCTGCCCCCATTGCCCCATTGATGGAAAGAACCAGATGAGGCCATTTGAGTTGGGCCCTAAACAAAAAAGCAACAACCACATTCCAAAGTGTATACAACAGACCTCAAAATAATAGGAGAAATTTGAGGAGCAAATATTTAGGCAAATAGGATTACAAAAACGAGGACAATAATAGTTGGGAACTTCAATACAAACAATCTGAAAAATCAAAGAAAACTTTTTTTATTTAGCCAGCATGTGTGATGCCCAAAAAGGGAGGGTGCAATTCTAGATTTTTCACTCAGTGAATGAATCTGGACAGTTTGATGAAATAACAACAGGTGACTATTTTGGAACAAGTGACCATAATACAGTTAAATTTAGCATCATTATGGAAAAGGAAAGGAGAGAACAGAAGCAAAAGTTATAAATTGGGGGAAGGCAAACTTTACAAAGCTGAGAGATGATCTGGGAAAAGTGGACTGGTTACAGCTACTTGAACCAAAGTCAGAGACAAATCTTTGGAAGGCTTTCAAAAAGAAAACTGGCAGTTCTGGTAAATTGAGAGTTCTTGCTTCATGAAAGCGAAGTCTAGAATTGCCCTTTCTTGTTGGGTTTGTCCAGTGGTGTCGAAAATAGTTTTCTTAAATGCAGTTCAATTTTGTACCTTCTGTGCCTTTCACACTTTGTATCCAAGTTGATGTTTGGGTAGTTGAAGTCCTCAATTATTATTGCTTCATGTTTTTGCACTCAGAAATTTGCCTACATGTTTGCTTCTAATTCAGAAGCTTATTGGGTAAGATAAA